AGCCCAGTTTGGTTCGGCATTTGAAATGAGCATTTGGACTCTAAAGTCCCTTGGCCAAATGCAAATGGCGCTGAGCAATTTTTTTGGAGCACTTTGGGGAAATGCAATTGCATTTCCAAAGACCTCTAAAGTCCTTTAGCCCAAGGCAGGTCTAGAGGCACTTTGGCAAATTGCATTTTCGGAATGCTAGTAGCACTGTTCATGGACTATTCATCTTCCCCAAGGATCTGGTCCGAAGGTTGGTGACCGCCACCTGAGGTGTGACGGCCCAGGCGGCGGTGTGCAGGGAGGAGAGATGGCAGTGCGTCCGCATCTCGATCCTCGAACGTGCGCAGGGAAGGGATGGGGAGCCTCTCTTGTCTCACATCGCCTAGGGGGAGTCCTGTACTGGCTTATAAGGCCTGGAGTTCTATATCCGTGTAACGTGTTTTAAAGCTGTGAGGGTCAGTGGGTCTAAAGCGGACAATATTATACAGTGTAGATCCGGAGTGTTACAGGTGGTATCAGAGCCGACTCCCAACCGCGTGTGGGGCCACAGCGAGGGCGCTGTGCCCGTAAGGGGTGAAGAGTGTGATGACCCAAGCGGCGGTGCACAGGGAGGAGGGATGGCGGTGCATTTGCGCCTCGGTCCTCGGACGTGCGCAGGGAAGGGAGGGGGAGCCTCCCTTGTCCCACATCGCCTAGGGGGAGTCCTTGACTGGCTTATAAGGCCTGGAGTTCTATAACTGTGTAACGCGTTTTAAAGTTGTGAGTGTCAGTGGGCCCAAAGCGGACAATATTATACAGTGTAGGCCTAAGGTGTTGCATGAGGGGTCGCGTGACCCCGGCGACCGTCGCTTGTCGCACTACCCAGGCAACGCCTGAGGTTGGGCACCTCAAGCAAGGCTAGCCGGCGGCCAGATCTGGGCGTTGGCGGTTGGCCAGCGGCCGTTTTGGCCTGCCAGTGGCTGAGCTCCACCTAAATTTTTTTTTGTTAAATATTAGCAAAAGTCCTTTACAAAATTAGTTTTTACCAAACGGTATTTAGACTAAAGTTGCTTTCAAACGTAATTTTAAAATACATATTACCAAACACTATTTGCATTTTGGAATACCCTTTTATCTAAAAGACCTTTGCATTTTGCCAAAGACATTCCCCCAAAGTCGGACCAAATAGGCCCGTAGTCTATATTAAGATATGTTTTTCTAGGGCCGCGTATCGATTGCATGATTTCCTTATTTTGATCTAATACAGTAAGTATACGCGTATTTATTATGCTGACATGAAATAAAGAAAAGGGTGAGTAAGAAACAGATGAGAAATGAACAAGATGTGTAGTCCATATTAGAATTTGTTTAGGGAAATCGTCACCTATTTTTAGCCTGACGAAAGCATGCATCCTTTCATGAAAACCATTATTTGGTCCAAAGCTAAAATTGTTTGATGAGTAAACTATTTGATGATTATCTTATTTTGATTTTCAAAAATCTCGATCTATCATCAAATTGATTTGGTTTTTTCTTTTGTTTTCCCAAATCCGAACCAAACAAACTTTTGAGGCTAACGATAACGATGCAACTTAGAAGAATGAATAGATTGACATAAAAACTTAACAAATTTTCGCGGAATAATTTAAGTTAAAACTTGATAGATACATGAACAATTCAATATTAGATTCAAATGGTTTTATCGAATAGATATTGAGATACTAAAGAGATAGAAGATATTGCAAGCATATTTTATAATGATTTGGCTTATATCAAAGCTACGTGCTCTCTCCCAGACTAACGGTTACCATCAAGGCTGGAATTCACTAATTATCTCAAGAGATGTTATAATGTGGCAAGTGCTGCTGTTATCAAAAGCTAATAGATCACACTATCAATAAAAAAAAAAGGGATATGTTCATTAAGAATCCTAAAACTTGTCACAAAAGTGCAATTGAGCCCTAAAACTTGCCAAAAGTGCAATTGAGCCCTAAAACTTATCAAATTAGTTCAATCGAGTCATAAAATTAACACCGTCTAATTTACTAACGGAAAATGCAGACGTAGCGCTGACGTGTCTTATTTTATTACTTTTCTCGAGACATGTAATAATGATGTGGCGTCCAACGCCATGCTAGAAAATGTTAAAAAATATAAATTAAATTTAAAAAAAAGATAAAAGTAAAAGAAGCAAACCACAATCAACGGCTGTGGCTAAGCTCTCGCCGATGGCCGCCGCCACAACCGTTGGGAAGGGTCGACGGAGGTCGCCTTGGCCTTCCCGAAGCCCGACGACCTTCGCCGGCCCCAGGCAAGGCCTCGCCCGAGGCCGGCAAGGGTCGATGGGCTTCGGGAAGGCCGAGGCGACCTCCGCCAACCCTTCTCGACAGCTGTGGCGGCAGCCACCAGCGAGGACTTAGCCACAACCGCAGGTTGTAGATTTGGCTTTTTTTTTTTTGGAACTTCTAGCTTTTTTCTAATTTAATTTATATTTTTTTTTTATCTTTTTCTAACGTAGCGCTTGTTGGATGCCTATCATCGCCACGTGTCTCAAGAAAAGTAATAAAATAAGATATGTCAGCATTTTCCTTTAGTAAATTAGACGGTGTTAACTTTAGTACTTGATTGAACCATTTGACAAGTTTTAATACTCGATTGCACTTTTTGCAAGTTTTATGACTCAATTGCACTTTCGTAATAAGTTTTAGAACTTCTAGTGTACATATCCCATAAAAAAAACACTGCTATTGCACTTATTCGTTTTTCAAATCACAAATTCCAAAATGCAACAAGATATTCTGATAGAGAGAATCACAAGTGAGCAGAATCGCGATTGGAGTACCAAGAAAGAACAAGACAATATCAGAATTATAGCTTTCTCAATTTTCACCCAATCCTTTAGCTTGCTTTGAGCTTTAGCTTGCTTTGAGCTTCTTATACAGTGCTTTAATTAGATGTTGGAGAATCTTTAAGAAGATCAAATAGACATTGGAGTTAATAGATACAATAGTTGGCTATCCACATTGTGACGCCCTGGATTTAACGTACTTGAGGTGCTGTCCACTTTGGCTCTTCCCATACCAAACATCACGGTTTTGTCCTTTGACGTGATGGGCACCTTCCCATAAAGTCACCCATCCTAAGAATACTCCCACCTGAGCACGCTTAACTTTAGAATTCCAAAGCTAAATATTGTCGTTACGTCAAAAGACACTTCCGTAAGTTAATTCCAGTTTTCATATATATATTCCAGAATCACCCCGTCCCTGTTCGGTACAAAGTTCAGTTCATTCCTCCCCCTTTCTTTTCGCCATCCTAAAAGCCTACCACAAGTCACTCCTTATTCAGACCCTCTGGCCCCGGCGACCACTCTCCGCTCTCGTCAGATCGAGTCGTTACATACAGTTGATATAGAGAGAACTGCCTTTATTAATAATCCAATGAGTCTATATGAGCTTTATGCTAAAAACTGACTTTTGATTTGCTATCTATTGATTCTCCTGAATATATTAGTGATCAAGACTTTACCTAGTTGTTCATCTTATCATGGTCTCTCCAAGTTCTTGTGAACACTTCATTCTACCAGGCTCGTTCACCTTCTGTAAAGGTCCATCTAGCTTGTAGATGCCTTTCTACTGTATGCTTTGGATACTACAGATAGTAGCAAAGCATTCCTCATATTAACTTTACCTATCAACAACATCTGCATTGATCAGATAATAATTAAAATGGATGGTTTCGTATCATACGAAGGTTTTCCTAACACAAACAAACACTTTGCTTTTGTTTAAAATTCCTTGACAATTGTGTTACCAATTTGAATTTTTTTTTAGAATTTTTTTTTGCTACTATTCTTTTCCATTTCCTTACTTCCATCTCTTTTTCCTCTTCAAGTCATGTAATTTCAAAACCATGGGTCTTTAATAAAATCTTCTATTCAAAATTGGAAAACACTTGCATAACTATGCCGTTAGCTTGGAAAATGGACGGTCAACCCCCTGCCACATATTTTCTATGAGAGAGAAAGAGACTTGTGTTTTGTTTGGAAATTTCCAAGCGCTTGTGTTGGAGACAAGAAAATTTTGTGGCTGGCCTTTGACCGTCACACCGGTCATGCTAGCAGCTCTCTTTAAAATTGGACATGTGTCTCGATAGTAGATGATCTGTACATAGAATTCTTTTTTTGTGATTAGATGGTTAGATGTATTGATCCACACATTCAATCTCGGTCTAAACCGGAGCCTAATCAGGAAGATTTCGATAGTAACTGCGCGTGACAGAATTAATGTTGAGTTGTTTTTATTTTGTTTTTGATTCTATAATCTGAGTTGTTTGAATTATTTTATTTTTATCTAGTATATACCTATGAAATGGTATAGGGAAATTTAGCAAAATACTCTCCTATTCTCATTTGTCTTTATGGTATCGGAGCTCGACAAGGGCACGCAGACTTCTTCCCTACAAGCTACAACAATGACTGCTGCTCCCAAATATCCATTTCCTTCAAATCTGAACGTGGCTAACTTTCTCATATTAGAAGTTGAATGACAACAATTATCTTCTCCGGGAGACTAATGTCTTGTCCTCAGTTGAAAGTGAAGATATTCAAGGCTTCCTAATTGGCGAAACAGCCGCTCCTCCACCAAACACTTGAGCAAGAAGATGGGCAGCAGATTGCCAATCCCGACTACGAATCATGGGTTCAGACAATGCCGAGGCATGTTATAGACGATCAGTTTTTGGACCAACCTCGTGTGATCATGTCATGTAATGTCCAACGCTGCTACATTCAATCCGTTAGTACAAGGAGGAAGTAATTCCCGCCAGGCATCCCCCGTAGCTCTTTGTACCAAGCTGAGCATCCGAGTGGGCCATTCGTCCCACGACCACCTGCCATCGCCGCCATCGTGGGCAATTGTGTCCTCCATGTTGGACCACATGCGGCTGCCCTCCCATGTTGATGGCGCACGGCTATGGTGGCTCAACATAAACACGGGGAAGAATGAGAGCTAGTCATGCCTGAACGGCGACGGGCTAATGTCCGAACACCCGGAAATCTTTACAATGCTTCACAAGCGCTCTATTTATAGCTAAGGTTTTAGTATTCAAAAAACTGCTGCATTTATTTGTCCTATGACTTTCTGCAGTTGAAGACAAGTGCAAGCTGCTAGAATTTATTGAGGCTACGACTAATTCTGCTTCAAGACAGACCAGGCCACTTTTTTTATTATTTCGGTGGCCAATCTGCTTCCACGCTCACATGATCTTCTCTTTCTTTTGTCTGCCCCCTGCCTGCTTGTCTTTCGTGCTTCATGGAGGCTTTGTCAGCAAAATCTATTTTATCATATTGTTTCAACAATATATTCTTACGGGTTTCTTCTTCATTTTCGCAGTTCACAGCGACTGAGCTCGCTCACCGTCAAGACGCTCAATCCGAACTCATCTTAGCTTCGAAACTCCCTGATATTGGCAGGAAACGAGGTTCTTGCGAATCCAATCTCAAAAATGTCTCGGTTCTCGTAGTTTATGAACTTAGTTCGTTGACTTTTGTTTTATAGAGTGAAGTGCTCAACTGCAAGTTCCCATGTTTTTATTTTTTTGGTTCTTATCTCATCCGGTTTAGGGGGTTTCAGAGAAGCGAATAACACAGACGATCTATGGATCCATTGTGAGATTTCCTTCCATAGCCACAGAGTAAGCGATATGTTATTTCTTGTCTTTTTATTTAACTTCAGTTGCATGATGAATTGCCTTTTGGGATTCTTGTTCTTGTGCAGTCACTTGTAAAATTTGTAATGATTGCCTTGGATTATGTCGTCCTTAAGTCTTGGATTTGCTGCTAAGTAGAACAAGATTTGGAAGGAAAAACCTGATCTTTTAGCAGCAGAAGTAGGGACCTCAGAATCACGGTACATGCAACTCTTGGACGCTTGAATGCTCAGGAGTAAAATGGAAAAAACATAAAAGAACCTGTTGGTTTATGTACTCATTTGCATAAGTGCGGAACAAATAAAGAAGGTGATAGCTTTCAGAAGAATTTCATCAGAAGGTCGCGCAGAGTTGCTAGAGAAGCAATTACCTTTATTTCTTTACTTCTGGGATTATAGAATGGAAATGTGTAGTGTAGCATACCTTCATGTTTCCATTTGTTGGATAATTTGGCATCATCACTGGGTCAGTACCCTATTGTTTGATCAAACCCGTTCTTCAGCAGCATGAGTGCGGTCTCAACAACAGAGTGAATGGAGGAGCTGTGCCTGCTTAGTCCAATGGTGCCAGAGAAAATATTGAAGCTTTCTAGCTCTGATGTCGTATCCAAGACTCCTTCAAGCTCCTCCTCCATGCCCAGATCCCTGAAGATCTGCACATTCGTTGATTTCTCTCTCATCATCCAGATTGCCAGCTCGATAGCAAACCTTCTCATTCTTGGCACCTTTATATGTGGGTTCCGATGGCTCCTGAGGATCTCGACCAAAGCCGAAGCTAATTTGGATTCTCTAAACCCCGCCCTCTTGAAGACGGCGGTCAATTCTTCTGCTGTCGTGAACTTGAAAGCATGCGCCGCTAGCCCAACCATCACCTCTTGAAGTTTGCCTTTTTCTGTCGAGATTGCATTGAGAACCTGAGTTGAGGAAATAGGATTAGGTAGGAACAATTAATTTCATACTTTCTAGGACAACTTAAACTTGTACATGACTGCCCTTTCCGGTTATCAAGATGCCGGCTCAGGTTCAGTTTTAGCAAAGGAGTGCACTTACTATTGGTGCTGCTGCTGTTACTCCCTTTAGCTGGTTGAAGGACTCTGATCCGCTGTAAGTGCACAGATTCCTCAAAATTCTTCCAGCATTAACATGAAGAAGCGGAACCTTCAATGCTTCTACGAGCCTCTCCACTACATTTAACTTCAAGATTCGATGACAGTTGCCCTTGCTTTCGAAAGCCAGCATTGCCAGGGCTTCGCCGGCCACAATCCTCACATCCCTTTGATCTTGCGGTTCTCCTTGTTGGAAGAAAATCTTTAACAGTTCTTTAAGTACTCCACCGGTCTCTCCTATTCGCTCTGACGCATCGTCTTCTTGTGCCAAACTGGTAAGGATTTCAATCCCTAGTTTCTGCAGTTCCGGCCGCTTCTCTCCGCACCGTAGAATATCTCTTATGTTGCTTATGGTGAAGACTATCTCAGAGATCTCTCTCCGGAGATTTTTCCCTGTGGTACCCGTTGTGCTTGCCAGCCTCTTCATAAGCTGTAAGGACCTTCTAACATTCAAAACCTGTGATGTGGTGAAACTTGAGTCCTTCAACATTCTTTCATCAGCATGAGTGAAATCTATGATTTTAGGTAGAAGGCCTCTTGTGTTTCCAATTTTTCCGCAGTTATCGTGATCATGGGCTAGTTTCTTCAGAATGAGAAGTCCCCAATTATTGAAAGTCCAGTATCCATAGTCTTCATGGCCAAAGATGATTTTCTTTTCACCAATTTCGTCTGCTGCAGAACTGGGGCTTCTGTTTGTCTGGAGAAGAGATGATATCGATTCCACAGCCCCAGGTATTCCTGTGACCCGAAGGGAGTTTTGCTTTTTCCCGGCTAATTTTGAAACAATTTCTGCAGCCGATAGCCTGATTTCTTCCTCCTGTGGGTCTTTCCAGTTTAAGATCTCCACCAGTCTCTCTATAACTGGGAGAGTTGTTCCGATCTTCTGAAGCGTGTCGTTTGAAAACCGATCTTTCGTAGAAAACCGGTGAAGAATCCTGGCTCCTATGAGCTGCTCATCCGGTGAGTTTGAACATAAGAGATCCATCGCAAAAGTCACCATATCCATTCCCAGGCCATCAAAAATGCTCCCATTAATACATCTTGAATAGGAGTCATAGAAAAATCTCCGAGTCGAGATCATACCCGAAGCCCCCAGATCGCATTCCTCGTTCACCCTTTCGAGAAGCTTACAGATGACAACCTTCCACTCCCAGTAAATTTTCTCTGTCAGGACGACCAGGGCTTCTGCCATAGCCAAGGCATAAAAGATAATCAGAGCAGCTTTCCGGTTTTTCTTGTCAGTCTCTTCTTCATCTACCTCACCATAATTGTGCTCAATGAGCTTCATCAGTGAGAGCACGACGCAGGCTATCGCAGATAAGAGCTGAAGCCAATAGAGAATCTTGCTGATATTTCTCGAAAGGAAAAACCACCCCATATAAGGTACAATAGGAACTTCCGAAGAAATCCAAATCCGGGTCGGCTTCCTTTGCAATTTCTGATCTCTGACATTTGTCGCATCTGAAGTTTCGGAAATTTCCCTGCTGTGTTGACTTTGCTTCCTCGTACCAGAGCTTACGGGACTCAACCTATCCTTCATGGATTCAACTAGAGCTTTAGAGCTCGATCTGAGCTTTCGGAAGCTGCTAATTCCAGCATCAGCTATTGACCATGTGGACTGGTGTTGCCACACCAGCTCATGACTCCTGCTGAATATTCGAGCTCCTTCAATTAACAAAATGATGGTGATGAACCAAAAGTCGGTGTTGTCTAGGGTAATGGCGAAGCCCCCTAGGAGAACAACCGTGGCCCAGATGAAACCAAGGGTTCCCAGGCCAGTGGCTGCTTTTTCGAGAACCGCAAGGCGGAGAGCAAACAGAGTCAGCTTTTTCTCCGGGGCTGAAACAGTCGGCAGTGTGGGGGAAACGGAGTTTCCGCTGCTTCCGTCTCTCCTGCCAGCACTAGTTTGCGGCTCAAACATTGTGGCGGGTGAAATGATGGTTTCATTTTTCTTCTGAAGCTGAGGAATATCCAGATGAATGCTTCTTTGACCTTCAGCGTAGTTCTTGGCCTTCATTTTGCAATCCGGAGTGGCTCAATAAGAGACAGCTTCTTTGCATATCAAATCTGAGGAAAACCTCTATCTAGCGGTTCATTGGAGCCTGAATTCGAATTGCCCGATGAAGATCTTGTATTCTCTTTGCGCATATGGGAGCAACGTGTTTGCTGCTCGGTGACAGCTTCGGCTTGTGTTGAACAAAACTTGCACGAGAGAGAAGGCAAGTTGACACAATATCGACTCTGTTTGAGGAATATATATGCATAAGGTCCTGATATTATCATGACTGATCTGGCTTCTGAGTTTTGTATCGCCACGTTGCTTGTGAGGAGCTGGGTCTTGCCTCCTTAGTCAAGCAGTTTGTTACGTGAAAATCTCGTAAATATGTTTCGTATCCGCATGATCGTGCAAGGAGCAATAATATTATAATCTCTTGCATGACAGGCTCGTCTTCGGATTGCCACGGCCAGTTGCGTGCTCCTCGACGATGTCTTTCAATGTCGTGTAAAGCGCAGTTCGGCATTTTGCTTGCTGGAGTTACCTTGCCGAACGTCTTCGTCTCGAGCTAGAGGACGCACAAATGGTCCCCTGCTTCGCGTTAGAGGTCCAGTCAGGGCGGTTCCTACTGAATGATGAGAAATTATTACCTTTTACTCACAAAAATTCCAAAACCTATGGACCATTATCTGAAAAGAAAACTTATTATGTGAGACCTCATTAAAATGAAGAAAATTGTTCAAAAAGTCCTAAACCTAGTTCATTTTGGTCAACTCAGGCCTTTACTCTTTAATTGTATCAATTGATTCATAAACCCTTTCACGTTTAGCCAATTGAATCCATTTGGTCAATTTTAAGCAGAAATAGCTGACGTGGACCGGTAGTGCCACGTAGAACGGCCGTCACGGACGTAAACAATTTTTTTATATTTTTTTTACAATTTTTGAATTTTTCTTTTTCTTTTTCTGTCTTTTCCTTTTTCTTTTTTTTTTTGCTACCAAGACTGGCGAGGGCCGGCCAACCCTCGCTAACCACAAGCGAGGGCTACAAGGCACTCGTCCAGATTTGGTGAGGGCTTCGCGGCCTTTGCCCAGTGACTGGCGAGGTTTGGCTGGCAACCTCGTTGGGCTTGGAAGAAAAAAAAAAGGAAAGAAAGAAGAAAAAATACATAAAATTTGCAAAAAGAAAATTAAAAATTTTCCATGTCAGCGCAGATCGTGTCACGTAGGATGGCTGGCATCCACGTCAACGATTTCCGGCTAAAGTTAGCCAGATGAATTCAATTGGTAAAACGTGAAAAGGTTGAGGACTCAATTAGCAAAATTGAAAAGTTTATGATTGAATTAGCCATAGTGCAATAGATTTTACACTTTTGGGACAATTTTACCCATTAAAATGAAGTAAAAATGCCAATTTTTATTGGCCCCATTGTCCCTTAATATTCAACTAGGGTCAAGGCACTTGCCGCAGCTGCCGCTCGTGTATGCATAATTCATTAAATAGAAATACGGTGAATAATTATGTATCGTAGGTGCGCATAAGATAGAGCAAGTAGGGACAACGCAGAAAATCTAATAGTGAGAAAAGAGAAGAAAAAAAAGTGAGTAGTCATTTGAAAAATGGATGCTTACGAATGAAAGAAATGAAGGGTAATCTAGAAAATCTAAAAACAAGACAATAAAAACGGAAAAAAAAAAGACACAAAAAATGTCATGCCTTTCGTACGGTGCTTACTTTAATACTAATAAATCTTTTCGAGCGATCACTGGAGTACCACGTCAGTGGAGAAACGATCGTTTTAGTGCCTTTGGCGACAAATTCGGACGAGTCTTCTTACCTAGCTTTTTTAATGAAATTTTATTTCATACGAGGCTTTCTTTTAAAAAAATCTTGAAGTTCAATGTAGACAAAGGACAGGATTACCTGGCATATGATTTAATTAACTCACTAATTTGCATTCTCTTCTCCTTCTCCTTTTTTGCCTTCGACTTCGTCTTCTTCACTAAAGACCTTGGAACAAGGAACAAATAGCACGCATAGCTCTCTCTCTCTCTCTCTCTCTCTCTCTCTCTCACGACGAGGAGTACAGTGGACGAAGCCACGACGTAGTGGACCAGGTCGGAGAACTTGCCATTCTTTGTGTACTGGCTGAGAACGACGGTTTTGAGTTGAGGCTGCGTTGAAGGCTTTGTGGGGGTCTTGTGATGGAGATGAAAAGGAGTCGAGTCCGTGGGTGTTATGGTGGATCAGTGAGAATCAGACATTGGAGGAGGAAGGAAACTGTTCGGCCAAAAAGTATCATGAAATATCTTTCATGTGTATTGAAAGATTTTGTGAAGGACTCGTGATTATTTGTTCGCCAGAACCAAGTGTCAAAATTTTGATAGATACGGATTCCATTAAAACTTCTTTTGAGGAATAGGCCAAACTGGGTCATTTCTCAAGAACAATAGCTAAGGGCCCTTATACTAAATTTGAATCTGGAACCGACGTGTTGATACTCATGATTTCGATAGCCATACCAATGATTAGGAGGAGACCTCCCAAAAAGTATTTAGTGTTCATTTTCAACTTTCCGTTATCTTTCTTTAACTGGGTGGCATGTCCATGGTGCTCGTTTTTCCAATTATGAGCCTTGGCTAAGTGACCCTACTCACATTGGGCCTAGGGCCCAGGAGGGTTGGCCAATAGTGGGCCAAGAAATATTGAATGGCGATGTGGGCAGGGGTTTCTGAGGAATACAAAGGAAGGAGACTGTTCCATCAAAAAGTATCAACGAAATAATTTTTTAAGTGTATCATAAAATTTTGCAAAATCGTCACCAACTATTTTAAAAGTTTAAGCTGTCAAACGAAAGCTTAATTTATAGTGTATATAATTTAACACTTCCACTCATGCAAAGGTTGGGCTTGGAAAAATTTGAACTCATGTCCTCTTGCTTTGATACCATGTAAGATTTTGTAAAATCACTGCCGACTATTATAAATGATTAATCTATTGTATAAATGCGTGGTTTAAGGGAAAAGTGTCAAAAAAGTTATAGTTATTGCATTGGTACCAATTTAGTCCTAAACATTTTTTTGGCGACAATTCAATCCTCAATATTTTGTGCCAATTCAATCCTTCTGACTAATTTTGGCCATATATTATTGACGTGGATGTCATCCGGCCTACGTGGCACCACCGGCAATGACGTGGACAAATTTTAATATTATTTTAATATTTTTCAAATTTTTTATTTATTTAAAAAAAATCTTTTCTTTTTCCCTTTTTTTTTCTTTTTCTTTCCCTTTCTTCTTCCTCCAGCCAGTCGCCGAACTGGCAACCGGCTAGAGGCCAGGGCCGTCAAGGTCCTTGTTGACCTTTGGCAAGCCCCACCGGCCACTGGCAGGCTCGCCCTCGCCATTGATGGCGATGGCGAGGCTCGCCTTGCCCTCCCCAGTGGCCACATGGTCACGGCCTCTAGCGAGGTCGGGCCTCACCCATGGCCGGCGAGGCTCGACCCTCGCCAACCTAGCGCGAGGCCGCCCTCACGGCCATCCGACAAGGTCAAAGGCCGCAACTTCGTGGCCTCTGGCAAGGACTTGAGCCTCACTAGCGACTAGGCGAGGCACGACCTTGCCGGCCATGGGCGAGGCTCGACCTCATCAGCGATAGCGAGGTTGTGCCTCGCCCAGCCGTTGGCGAGGTGAGCCTTCTAGTGGCTAGTGAGGCTCACCAGAGATGGCCTCTAACCGACCGCCGATCCTAAAGGAAGAAGAAAGGGAAGGAAAAAATAGAAAAATTAATTAATTAATAAAATAAATAAATAAATTCGACTAATATTAAAATATTATTAAAAATTGTTCACATAATTGCCGGCGGTGCCATGTAGGCCAGTCAATATCCACATCAGCAATATTCGGCCAAAATTAGCTGCAATGACTGAATTGGCACAAAGACAAAAGGTTTAGAACTGAATTGGTATAAAAAAAAGGTTTATGACTAAATTGGCATAAATGCAATAGGTTTAGGACTTTTTTAATACTTTCCCATGGTTTAATATTTATATATTTGACCATGTATAAGGTTGTAAACGGACATTTGTTGATTCTTGAACATGAAACACAAAAGGCTCAAAAATTAAAAGTACTGATATTTGAGACAATTGTGTTTAACCATATAAAAGGTACTGAAAACTAAAGATGAACAGGAAGATGAAATCGAACAAATGGTGTTCTTTGACTAATTGGCAGTCAAACTCCAATTCAAGTATTTATATCTACAGTTAACAATGGTTGCAAAGAAATCAAAACACATTCCACATTATACCTACAATTCAGCAATTTATATTTACATACGGTTATTTAATAATAACCAACTCCGCTATTCGACGTTTGTTTCTTCTCCACTCTTTCACTATTGTCATCCTCAATTGCTTCCGATATATTTGGCTCCGTTACTTATAGGTTGCGTCGAATTCCCCCTTTTACGAATATTTCTCGGATGGTTGCATCCAAGATTGTCGGCTCAAATGCTTAGACGCTTACTTTACTTTCACTCCGTCAAAGATTATATCAATCGTGGCTTTTTGTCATTTGAGTCGATCTTCATTTGTCAACATTCTGTTTCACTCATAACCTCTGTCGGCTAACACCAGTTTCTTGTCAACTAAGATGAATTGCCTACAAAGTGCTTTCAACACTTAAAACATTTAGTAAATTTAAACGAGGTTTCTCGCGAACTCAATCACAAGAATGTCTCGATTCTCGGAGTTTATGAGCTTAGTTCATTGTCTTTCGTTTTATAGAGTGAACTGTTCAACCGCAAGTTCACATTTTTTCTTTGGTTCTCACCTCGTTCTGTTGAAGGGTGTTTCAGAGAAGCGAATAATGCAGACAACTTATGGGTTCATCATGAGATTTCCTTCCAAAGTCAAGTCACAAAGTAAGCAATATGTTCTTTCCTCAGTTGGATGGTGAATTGCCATTTGGGATTCTTGTTCTTGTGCAGTCATTTGAAAATGTATACAGATTGCCCAAGATTACATCTCGACCTTAAGTCTTTGATTCGCCGCTAAGTAGAACAAGTTTTGGAACGAAAAATGTGGTCTTTTATAATTGCGGGAGTGAGCTCAAAATCTCTGTATTATGCAACTCTTGGATGATTGCATGTTCAGGAGTTAAATCCGGAAAACAAAACAATGCGTGGGTGTATGTCCACATTTTGCATATGTTTTGGTAGTAGTACATGTGGTGTGTCGCAAATTGCACAAATTCTGTGCGGAACAAATGAAGGTGATGATAACTTTTAGAAGCATTTCATTACACTGAAGCAGAGCTGAGTTTCTAAATAAGCAATTGCCTCGCTTCTGGGATCAGAGAATGAAATATGTAGTCTAGCACACCTTCATGTTTCCATTTGTTGGTTAATTTGGTATCATCATTTGCTCAGTAACCTATGGGTTGATCAAACCTGTTCTTCAGCAGCATAAGTGCAGTCTCAACAAGTGAGTGAATGGTCGTGCTGTGCCTGCTTAGTCCAATGGTGCCAGAGAAAATATTGAAGCTCTCTAGCTCTGATGTCGTATCCAAGACTCCTTCAAGCTCCTCCTCCATGCCCAGATCCCTGAAGATCTGCTCATTCTTCAATTTGTCTCTCATCATCCAGATTGCCAGCTCGATAGCAAACCTTCTCATTCTTGGCACCTTTGTATCTGGGTTCCGGTGGCTCCTGAGGATCTCGACCAAAGCGCAAGCTAATTCAGCTTCTCTGAACCCTGCCCTCTCGAAGATGGCGGTCGATTCTTCTGCTGTCATGAACTTAAAAGCACGTGCCGCTAACCCAACCATCACCTCTTGTAGTTTGCCTTCTCCTGACATGATTGCCTTGAGGACCTGAGTTGAGGAAATATGGTTAGGCAGGAACAATTAATTTCATTTTTCTCTATGACATCTTAAACTTGTACATAACTGCCCTTTCCGGTTATCGAGATGCCGGCTCAGGTTCAGCTTTTGCAAAATAATGCACTTACCGTTGGTGCCGCTGCTGTTACTCCCTTTAGCTGGTTGAAGGACTCTGGTCCGCTGCAAGCGCACAGATTCCTCAAAATTCTTCCAGCATTAACATGAAGAAGCGGAATCTCCAATGCTTCGAGGAGGCTCTCCACTACATTTAACTTAAAAATTCGATGACAGTTGCTCTTGCTTTCGAAAGCCAGCATTGCCAGGGCTTCTCCGGCCACAATCCTCACATCCCTTTGATCTTCCGGTACTCCTTGTTGGAAGAAAATCTTTAACAGTTCTTTCAGAACTCCACCGGTCCCTCCAATTCGCTCCGTTGCATCGTCATCCTGTGCCAAACTGGTAAGGATCTCAATCCCTAGTTTCTGCAGTTCCGGTCGTTTCTCCCCGTACCGTAGAATATCTCTTATGTTGCTTATGGTGAAGACTATCTCCGAGATCTCTCTACGGAGATTTTTCCCTGTGGTACCCGTTGTGCTTGCCAGCATCTTTATAACCTGCAAAGACCTTTTAACATTCAAAACCTGCGATGTGGTGACACTTGAGTCCTTCAATATTCTTTCATCTGCATGAGTGAAATCTATGATTTTGGAAAGAAGGCCTCTTGTGTTTCCGATTTTTCCGCAATTATCGTGATCACGGGCTAGTTTCTTCAGAATGAGAAGTCCCAAGTTGTTGAAAGTCCAGTATCCATAGTCCTCATGGTCAAAGATGATTTTCTTTTCGCCAATTTCGTCTGCTGCAGAACTGGGGCTTCTGTTTGTCTGGAGAAGAGATGATATCGATTCCATTGCCCCAGGTATTCCAGCGACCCGAAGGGAGTTTTGCTTTTTCCCGGCTAATTTGGAAACTATTTCTGCGGCTGATAGCCTGATTTCTTCTTCTCGTGGGTCTTTCCAGTTTAAGATCTCCACGAGTCTCTCCATAACTGGTAGAGTTGTTCCCATCTTCCGGAGCGTGTCATCTGAAAACCGTTGTTTCGTAGAAAACTGGTGAAGAATCCTGGCTCCTATGAGCTGCTCATCCGGCGAGTTTGAAGATAATAGATCCATCGCAAAAGTGACCAGATCCATTCCCAGGCCATCAAAAATGCTCCCATTAATACATTTCGAGTAGGAGTCATAGAAAAATCTCCGAGTCGAGATCATACCTGAAGCCCCCAGATCGCATTCCTGGTTCACCCCTTCGAGAAGCTTACAGATGACTACCTTCCACTCCCAGTAAAGTTTCTCTGTCAGGAAGACCAGAGCTTCAGTCAAAGCCAAGGCATAAAAGAGAATCAGAGCAGCTTTCCGGTTTCTCTTGTCCGTGTCTCCTTTAGCTACCTCACCATAATTGTGCTCAATGAGCTTCATCAGTGAGAGCACGACGCAGGCTATCGCAGATAAGAGCTGAAGCCAATAGAGAATCTTGCTGATATTTCTCGAGAGGAAAAACCACCCTCCATAAGGTAGAATACAGACTTCTGAAGAAGTCCATATCCGGGCCGGCTTCCTTTGCAATTTCTGATCTCTGACATTTGTCGCATCTGTAGTTTCGGAAATTTCCCTGCTGTGTTGACTTTGCTTCCTCGTACCAGAGCTTACGGGACTCAACATATCCTTCATGGACTCAACTAGAGCTTTAGAGCTCGATCTGAGCTTTCGGAAGCTGCTAATTCCGACATCAGCTATTGACCAAGTGGACTGGTGTTGCCACTCCAGCTCATGACTCCTGCTGAATATTCGAGCTCCTTCAATTAATAAAATGATGGTGATGAACCAAAAGTCGGTGTTTTCTAGGGTGATGGCGAAGCCCCCCAGGAGTACGACCGTCGCCCAGATGAAACCGAGGGTTCCCAGGCCAGTGGCGGCTTTTTCGAGAACCGCAAGGCGGAGAGCAAACAAAGTCAGCTTTTTCTCCGGGGCCGGAACAGCCGGTAACGCGGGGGAAACAGAGTTTCCGCTTCTTCCATCTGTACCAGCACTTGTTTGCGGCTCAAATATTGTGGTGGGTGAAATGATGACTTCATTTTTCTTCTGAAGCTGAGGAATATCCAGATGAATGCTGCTTTGACCTTCAGCACTGTTCTTGACCTTCATTTCGCAGTCTGGAGAAGCTCAAAGACAGATATTTCTTTGCACATCAAATCGGCTGAGGAAAACTTCTATCTGGCGGTTCGATGGAACCTAAATTCGATTTGCAAACTTTCTGCTTATGAATTGCCTGGATTGAGATGAGAGCGAGCAGCTGTGCCTGTATAAAAGGTGGGGAGAATAAGTGGATCTAGCAGAGGAAAAGGTAAGGTTAAAGCAGCTTCTATCGCCAACTTTCCTGGAAGTTCTCTCGCCTTTGGACAAGATTTCTATATCGTCCGCTCGTTTACTTCTAAAGTTCCAGTGAGGAGCTTTCTTGATTGCCCGATGATGATCTTGCACTCTCTTTCTGCACATCGAAGTGACTCGTTGTTACTTGGTTAATACTTTGCTTGGGCTTATCTTGAAGAAACCTTGTACGAAAGAGAGGACTTGAGACAATGTTGACTCTGTCAGAGGAGTATGTGGCTGAGGTTCTGATGTCGTTTGAACAAAGAAAAGATTCTGATGTCGTAATGAATGATCTGGCTCTGAGTTCTATATTGCCATGCACAGCTCCTTGGGAGGCATGGACTTCAACATCAACGAAAGGAAGATTTTTCTTGAAGTTGAACCTTTAAAGTCTCCTTTTTCTTCTGGTCTCTCTGTTCATGAGAGTCATTGGCCAGCTGTATTATTATAAGGTATAATCCCTCCTTGTTAAAGCAGTTGGTAAAGGAGCCAACCATTTTAAAATTCCTAACACTTCTTGTACCTCATTATTCAGTGTGTGTCGTATCGGCCTGGTCATGAAAGTAGTGATATTATAATCTCTTACATGACGGCACGTTTTTGGATTTCCACGGCAACTTACTCGGTCCTCGACGATTATTTCAATGTCATGCAATACACGATTGTACCATGTCTTTTGTACCTTGCCAGAAATATTTTATTGAGTGACTTCGTCTCGAGCTAGAGGACACCCAAATGGTCCCCTGCTATATGTTCAAGGTCCGGTCAGGTGGCGGCTATTGCATTATAATTCTCACCCCTAAATTACTCAGAAAATTCAAAAACCGATGAAAGATTTGTTATGTGTGACATCATTAAAATGAAATAAAAAAAAAGCATAATTAGGGCGACGCGTTATTCTCCTAATTTTTACCTAAAAGGCGGCGACTCTTCACTGTGTTTTCTTCTGCTTGTTGTGATTTGGAAACACAGAACTTTCGAGTCCCTTGGCGGATAGCACGTTCCAAGCGTTGAACTTAGGACTAGTGCAAGATGCTGACTTTTCTTTGCCAACTCATTGCTCTGCTAACACGACAAAGCTTGGCGGATAATTTTCTGAATCCAGTGATAAAAATCTTCTAAATGTGCGGCTGCTAAGCAAACGGACCACAAGACAAGCAAAACTGAATGTGCACCCACCTAAAAAATCTAAAGTTTTGAAAGCTTTCGAGCAAGAATGCTGAATGAAGAGGGCCTTGAGGGTCATAATGCATTGTCAATATAGTTCTTGACTTTTAATAGTGAGTTGAGCGTGAATTTATCCTCTTTTCACATGGAAGCAGAACGGAAAAAAACTCAGTATATGTTCATCCTAAGTCCTACTCAAGCATTACCAAATCATCATAAATAGAATACAAGCATCGATCGGGAGAGATTCTATTTCGTCTAACAGATGCCAGGAACTTCCCTCACTTGACAAACTTTGCAAACCACTCTAGCATATCCGAATGCGCCTCCTCAGCACACTTCACCGCTTCTTCATCAGCGACATCGTACCTGACAGTCCACCCATGGGAAACTTTCGGAAAAATCTTCACTCGTGCATCAACCTGTGAAACAGTCTATATTTATACGAAATCTCTACCACCATGTGGCAAAATAAACTCTCTGAGTGGCTCACATAAATCAAACTTCCCAATTGGAAACTAAATAGAAGTGCATGAACTCGAAAACATAGGTGAATTATCTCAATCTCACCTCAGATTTGGCAGCTAGAATCTCTTCAAACTGCTTCAGGAGTTCCGGTGGTGACCTATGGTCTATCTCAGCTCCTAATATGGCTATTGGAGCCTTAACTCCTGCAAAATTGCATACAACTCTTAAGGTGCAAAACTGATGAAGCTGACAAGTTATGGTGATGCCTTTGTTAACGTAGCTCATCAAATCTTGCAATAGTTGTCCTGGAAATGCGTCGAGGTAAATAAAGCATCACATCTTTAGTGTCTTGTGGGCTGTGTAAATGTTTATTTCATAGAGGTCATAAAGAGCAGGGCAAATCGTGACATCTGTATAGTCATACACAGTGTATGTTCCAACTTTCCAAGCCACCAGGAGATGCTTTTTCTTCGTTATGCAAGCCATATGCAATATATTCAAGTGCATGACACTGAAAATGTGCACAGGTAGGTTCCTACAGCTACTAGAGATTCTTGGCATTGAAAACATGCAAACCAAGAGCCTAATAAAATACCAAAAGTAAAGATGATCATACCCTCGATGTCATCCACAGAGACTAACGACGGATGTAATAACACAGCAGCTCCGATGGCCCCTGTCTTCGCCAGCTCAACCACAACCTTACCTGAAGAAACGAAGATCCCATGAGCATTGCACAATATTACGAGCTTGTAAATCATATCCAAGACATGAAAAGAGATCTTTGAAAGAATCATTCAGAACAAAGCTACTCACCTCCCCAACAAAAGCCAGCAGCCCCAATTGCAGATGCACCTTTACCTTTCACAGCTTCAACTATTCGCTTTGCATCTTCATATCCCTTATCCTGCCAAAAAAAATTCTTTTGGCATCAGCAACCACAATTACCAATGGTCACATCAATAATGGGAAAACAGTGAGCATCTTGAGATAGGCAATTCTGGATCAACTTATGACTAACACTAGTGCAATTTTTTAGGAAAAAACTAGCAAGTGTCTATCGATGAAAGATCGAGAATGCACAGTTCCATGATCCTTTAGCCATTCTGTAACGGGCCTCTCGGCATTTTCAGGTACATAAGGTTCTCCACCCAAAAAATCAGGAACAACCGCATAAAACCCTGCAGCTGCGACCTTGTCGGCAAGCTTCCTGTCCATCAGTATAAACACTGATTATTAAGTTACGAAAGAAATAATCAAAAGATGACCAAACCCGACACATACACACACATTTATAACTTACAGTGCTTATAAACCTGTATAGCAAACGTATATGCTCCACAGAAGAAAATAAGCGAAGATTTAAAGAGGATTTAACAAAAAATTTATGCTGTGAAGTGAATTATAAGTTTTAGAAAATTTATTCAGCTTCTGAGATCTTGACTGGAGCTGGTAACTCTCAAAGATTGACTTTATTCCCCAGAAGGATTCATGGTTTACAATGAAGAGTCGGTGAAGTCTACAAAAAGAAAAGTGCTTAACAATCTGCTTGCAAAATGAAAGGAGGTACATGGTAATTAACTAAAGGAACAGCCAAACCTGAAGTTAAATCATTTTCAGTAAAGACGTCGAAGAGATCTATCACCATATGGAAATTCCAAGGCATTATATTCACTACGCTTTCATCAGACGGAAAGATTAGAAGGTCCTTGACCAGTAGCAGTTCGATAATACTAAGGAAAAGACATATCTAATCGCAGGGCAAGTCCTGCTTTTTTGTAGAGATCTCCATGCTCATGCGCTTGAGACACTTAAGTCAACGTAGAAGACTCACCCCCAGTTGAACATTCTAAAGACGAGCTTCTCTCAAAGCCACTATCGAAAATACTGTGGAGAATCTAAAGACCTAACTCAAGAGAGCGCGCAGAGTAAAAAACCTCAAGGATTTTCGCCATAAGAGAACAACCTAACTGCAATATTGAATAAGCTGCCAACGAAGTAGTTCCTCTGATCTCTAGTTTTAAGGGAAATACACACATAATCGCCTTATCTAGACCTTAGCAAACTTCTGTTAATTTAAAGCATAAAGCTAGAGGAAAGAAAGAAGAGAAGGAAAGTCTTGATTCCTGCATGACCTCTTCCACTAACACACGCACGCATGGTCTGAGAAGAATAAAAACAATTCAACTAGCTAGTATCAAGAAAGAATTATAGGGTAATCGTCCATACCTCAAGTTCGGAGCTTCATATCCTGCAAAATCAACCCGACCAACCAAATCATGTGATTAGCTCCGAGAGGAGGAAAAAAAGATTTACCGGTAAAAATGAAACCATATAAAGAGGTTTTCCTTATTTAACCTCTTAATAAACTTCCAAGAAACAGCCTACTACTCCGTAAACATAGCCTCTTGCTTCACAAACATGAGTCGGATAGATTCATTATATTACAAGAAAAGCTCTGAAATCAAAAGGTTGACCAAGAGATTATGACAAAATTGCAACTTAATCACTGACCCAGATCACATATTGAACCAGAAGCACCGACCATGAACCCAAAATACAAACTTTATCGATAAAAGGAAGCACTAGGCAAGTACCGAACACATCAGAGACGAGGACGATGGCGAGGTTAGAGTCGGAGGAACCAGAGACGTAGCTTTTGAGCCCACCCAACTCCTCAACATGGCCTTGTCCGCTGGCTGGGTTCAGAGTTGGAGGGTTCTCGCAGCATTGAGGTCCCGACATTCTCCGGGACTTTGCCTCTGTTGTGTGATCGCTGCGTGCTACTGGGGTAAGAACGGAGGCAATGAGACTAGAGATACACCAAGAAGATGGGAGAGAAAGAAAGAGAGCGAATGCAAGGTCAGGCTTTGGGACCGCAAGAATCTGCAGGAGGAGGAGAAAGGAGGCAATGTCATAAGTACGATGTAACGGTGATTCTATGGTCCTAGATGGCACGCCAAGATTACCTTCTGAGAATTATAGCCTTATCCATGATGTAACATCGGAATGTCCGAAAAAATACTTTTGTAGATTCCTTTCATGTGTGATCATATGGCTCGGATCGGTCATCAAAAGATATTATGGTTCGGATTAATGTCGCTTCCCGACGTGCATATCCATATCAGGATATGTTTTTCTAGGGCCCTATTATCGGTTGCACGTTTTCTTCATTTTGATCCACAAGAAGTAGGTATATGCGTATCTCTTACGCTGACACGAAATGATGAAAAGGGTGAGTGAGAAGCACACGAGAAATGAATTGGTTGCGCGTTCGTTGGGTCTGGTTTAACTCGGGAAACGGATCGAACCAGCATAAATCGAGGCTGGTTCTAAAGAGAACCAATTTGGTTCCCGGTTTTGTATACCTAGAACCGGCTCGGTTTTTCATTTCAGTCTGGAGCCGTCTGATCTACCACTGGGTCTATGTACGTTTTTACAGTAAAATGGTGCAAACATTTATATTTTATTATAAAACTTGATTTGATACATAATATAAAAATGGGTTGGTTTCCAGGTTAAATAGAGAACCAGTTGTGGGGAAGCGGAACCGGCCATTAGGAACAGGTAGTTCCAAAACTATAAGCAATTAGGTTCTTAGTTCAAATCTTTTGGAACCAAAAGTCACGGGATAGGTTTCTAGTTTTAGGCCGGGTACCAATCTACTCGGAAAGCGATCACTTCAAGAAATAAACAAGACGAAATTAGAGAAGTCGTCACTTATTAGCCCGAGAGAAACATGCATCCTTTCATGAAAATCATTAATTTGGTCCAAAGCGAAACACTGTTTGATGAGTGAACTATTTGATTACTACACAAATGTACATTGTGAAAATATATACCATCTAAATGAAAGATGTATCTTGCTTGATTTCCAAAAATCTTATCTAGTATCATATTGACTTGGGTTTTTTCTATTGCTTTCCCAAATCCGAACCAAACAAACAAACACTTCGCTTTTATTCAAAATTCTTGTACGGTTGTGTTACAAATTTGAATGATTCATTCTTCTCGATGTCCCTACTTCCATCTCTTTTTCCTTCTCAAGTAATATAATTTCGAGATCATGTATCTTCAATAAAATCTTCTATTCAAAATTTGACACGTCTCGATAGATAGAAAGAGGTTATTTATGTACATCTATAGAGGATGAATTTGAAATGATGCGGTCCTGAGATCACCTAGACATTGCCCACTTTAGCTGATAGCATTTTGGAACAACATATCCTTCTAAAATGGAAATGGAAAATGGAAAATGAACAAGGAATTTGCTATTTTATATTCCCCTTGTGGTCCTCATCTTGTTGACAGTGAACACCTCCAATCAATTTGAACAAGAAATGCATCCAAATTGGCACGATACCACTCGACACGCCATATTATTTTTTCAATCTTCAAAGTTTGAGGGACGAAACCGCTTATCTTATTTCTCTAAGCAACAACAGTACAGTGCGCTGTTTCCTCACCGAATATTACAATAGATGGCTAGTCCAAAACAGATGACCAGTCCTCAAATTGTTCATCTCACACATGCAGTCATCTACTGCTTCCCTCACTATATTCTTGAATGCCTTCTCTTCACTTGACATGCTTCAAAAACCAATTCAACGTGTCCTGTTGGGCCTCTTCAGCGCTCTTGACAGCAAATTCGTTGCTGTCGTCGTACCTCACACTCCATCCATGACTAACACTAGGGAATATTTTCACATAACTCTCGAACTGCAAAACCGGGGTCTCTGAATTAGTGATGTGTAGAAATAACAGGAGAGGGGAAGTGCTTTGAGTGCGAACTGACGGGAATGTGGAAAAACAATTGCCTTGTCTGACAATTCGTTTGCAACAAATGCACAAAACATCCCAAGACGCTTACTTCAGTTTTAGCCGACATGATCTCCCCGAACTTTTTCAGTTCTTCGGGGGGAGAAGCATGGTCAATCTCGGCTCCCAATATCGCAGTTGGAATCTTGACGGCTGAACAAAGAACAGACAAATAGGATTCAGTTTAAGGAACACTTCTCAAGCAGACAATGTCGTGCCATCGATTTCTTGTGATTGACCGGACTTGTTATAGCATGTTTCTTCATCCCTCTTGGCTGCATTTGCATATCTCTCCAGAATTCACAAACTTAATCATTCATGAGCATATTAAATTAGCCCAAAAAGCCTCCCGTACCAAGTCTAACACCCTCGTGAAGAAATTATATTGCTGTGGTTGAAAAGAAAATAGTAAGTAACTCGATGTTTACTGGAATAGCTTTACCTTCGATTTCATCTTCAGTCATACGACCAGGGTGCAGAATAACTGCTGCTTGAATGTCTTCAGTGCCCGCTAATTTCACTAGTACCTTTCCTGAAAAGAATAGCAAGCTTTTCTTAACAACTTGGAAGAACTTTTTTACAAGTGAACAGAACTAGTTTTTCAATGGTGAACGTAAAACAAATTTCCCATTACTAAAGCGAAGAACCTCCTCAACGGTGTGAAAGATAATTCAGAAAATTTCACCTCCCCAACAAAATCCTGCAGCCCCAATGGCAGACACGCCTTTGCTCTTAAGAGCGGCAATCACTGGCTTGGCATCTTCATACCCTTTATCCTAAAGAAGCAAATGAGGTAACAGTTTACGAAAAGACGACTAAAAAACTGTTGACATGAAAATTCATGAGGCTTTTATACTACTGATACTGTCTCATGTTTTGCATTGCAATTTGGGAAAATACAGATCTAGATGGGCGTCTAAAACCTTTGAAATGACCAGCAACTCCAACCAGGTCTAGCTAGTAGCTACTGATGCAACTTATTGCATGTGATATGAATCTAGAAATCAAGTTTGCAAATTGGAAATTTCATGAGGCTTTCATTCTACTGATACTGTCTCACGTTTCGCATTGAAATTTGGGAAAATACAGGTCTAGATGGGTGTCTAAAATCTTTGAAATGACCGGCAACTCCAACCAGGTCTAGCTAGTAGTTACTAATGCAACTTACTGCATGCGATATGAGTCTAGAAATCAAGTTTGCATATTGGAAAGCCGTTCGTGCAAACTCCAACCAGGTCTAGCTACTAATGCAACTTACTGCGTGTGATACGAGTCTAGAAATCAAGTTTGCACATTGGAAAGCCCCTTGTTTCCGCTGAACTTCTAAATGTACTTCAATACTTTCACAGCCTGAAGGAGTGAAAAACTCACCGTGCTATGAATTTTCTTCCAAGCATCTCTATCAAAATTAGGATTACTGAGATCATAGGGATTTCCGTACAAGAAATCGGGTACAACCACCAAGAATCCTGCAGATGCAACCTTATCTGCAAGTTTCCTTTACAACAAAAGCAGTCCGCGAATAAGTATGACAATTTGAAAAAGTAACTCTATCATTTTCAATCTTGTGAAAACATAGAATGCCATGACTGCTAACAAGGCGATCCCCGCTTATATGCTGTTAGTGTTGAAACTAAGGCTCACTCTATATCAAGATGAAACCACATCATATAAACAGCTAGGCTGTGAAGTAGCGAAGTCTGCTAGAACCAGAAACTGTAACTTATGTCGAATCAAGCAATGTCTACCAAATGTCAGTGGAACGTGCCACAAAGTCATGCGTTTATGCATTTCAATCGATGATGTTTTAACATGGAACAGAAAAACACCAAACACACTCATCCAGAATGAATTGGCACCACAGAACAACATGTACACTCACCCTCATGTGCTATGTAATGCTCTTCAGCAGCACAGGTAAAAGGTGAAAGGTGAAGCTTTCAAATGTATGCTCTAAGGACAATAAAGAGGTATTCACTTCAAAAGATGGCACTATAGAACAACATATACGTAGAACAACCCGAGAAAGATTCTATGCAAGTAATCTCGCCATACCTCAGCTCAGGAGCCTCATACCCTGCACAAACAGATGAGCAAAGGATCAATCAAGCAGCAATTTCATGGACCAATCGAAAAACACAAGAACGACAAAGAACCAAGAAGGAGTGCATAATCAACCAAAAGAAAAGACCCAACTAAGAGAAACAACACAAAATCAGAATCAAAGAAACGGGTCAATACCAAAAACGTCAGCGATGAGAATAACAGCGCGCTTGGAATCGGAAGGGCCAGTGACGTAAGTTTTGAAGCCTGCAAGCTCTTCAACACGTCCTGCTCCACAAGTCGAGCTCAGGCTTGGTGGGTTCTCAAAACACTGAGGGCTTGACATCTTCCTTCCTTCCCCGGAAACCTGGTGAATGTGGGAAGGCACTGGGAGTGAGGATTCAGGGGAAGAAGGTGACAATTTGTGAAGGCAACATCGGAGAAAGAACAAATTTATAATAGGAAAAGACGGAACAATGCGGCGTCACTGCATGCGTCACTCGGACAAAGTAAAAAAATTTCACGTTGGGAGGTCGGAGTGAAAGTTGCAGCGTTGACTTCCCTCGACCGGAAGGCGTTCCGATCAATAACTACCAAGAACAGACAAAAGCTCTGGCGGTGTTTTCCAAAGATTTTCTCCGACGAAGAGTGAAGACCATTATTGCCAACGCCAACGTGTCACCAATTCTCAATTCACCGATCCCTTAGGATCGTTGTCGGAAGTCCATTGACGGAGCCCAGCAAGTCGTCTGCAAAAGACCAGAGACCTATTTCCCAAGTTCGAAACTTGGGATAAGCAAAAAATGAAATGGTCTTTTGCAGATGGCCATGCGTGTGGTCTCCTCGCGCTATGGGCTCGTGTCGACGATCCTCGTGCTATTTCTAGCTCGTTAGGGGCACCCCACAAAAAGCTTGATTGTAGTAAGCCTAGACTCATCCTTATTAAGATGGCACGGTCAACGGTGATGATTATTAGCAGTTAAGGTGACATGAACACTCCCACCATTAGCTAGAAAGCACATTAAGCGGCGGTATTTGTGTTTCTTGTGTAGACCGAGGACGGAAGAAGGAACAAAACCTCAATCTACTGAGAAATTTTGAGGTGCACTTGAAATGTGACGATTCAGTCCACCAAATTTAGTCATTGTATGGGAAAGCATTATCATGGATTTCGAAAAAAAAGAAAAGAAAGTTCATAACACTTGTCAAGCTATGATTTATTTGGATAAATGAGTGCGTGGTCTTCTCTCTAAGGGCCTTCCAGGTTGCTTATGAAACTATTTGAGATGAAGATGGTCATGTTTTATTCTAACCCTAACATGCTGAATTTTCAAGCAATGAATTGAGGTAGGGGTTTCAATCCAAAAAAAAATAGAGGTAGGAGTGATCGGTTTTTGGGTGGGCCGATTCCCACCCAAGAACGGGAACGAGAACGGAGGGTTGGTTCTCAATTTATGGAACCAGAAATCGACCCACCTGGTCTTGGAACTGAACCGAAATGATTTTCGGGTGGGCCAACGAAACCGGTGGCATATTTTTTTTTTTTTTTTAAGCATATAATTCCTAATCATTATAGGATCTTCATGAAAAGGATGTTAAACCCCTAATGGAAATTCATATGGCTTGACAGAAAAGATAGCAAATAAAGTTCAAAGAAGACAAGAAATCTTTGAACTTCATTCTTTATTAGATAATGCAGGAAATTGCATTATCATGCTGCTCAGTTGAATTGAACACCTCCAACGATTTAATATGGAAATAAAAGGGGCATACAAGAGAATATCAATGGACATCATGGCAAGTCGCCATTTTAGAAAAAAAATGACCCAACTTTATTCAATAATCTCAAACATAGACAGAGCAAAGATAGATAGCAGGAGCCCATTGGTCAAACGGTGTTGAAGCAGAGACCAGAAGCAAGCGTCAAGAGATAGCACCGACAAGAGCGGCATTGGATATTATTATTTACTTTGATGAGATACGATTATGATCACGATCACAATCGGCCAAAAACAGAGCAAGAGAGGGAGGCAAGAGTCAAGCAAGAGAGTGAGTCCACGAGAGGGAGGCAAGAGTCGAGCGAGAGGGTGGCTTATGAGAGTCGAGCGAAAGAGTGACTAAGATTAGGAGTTTTTTTTTTTTTCAGATTTGTGAAAGAGGGAGCATGTGAGAGAATAACTGAGGATTTGTGCTATGAAGGATTAGGGTTTCTGAAAAATTTGTAAGAAATTTAAATAAATAAATAAAAGAATCCGTCTAGTTTAGGTGGGCGGTTCCACACATGAAACTAGAAACCGAACTGAAAATCACCGATTCCAAAAAATTGGAACCGAAATCCGAACCAGTGCTTCTAGGAATCGAAGCGGCCGATTTGGTCCGGTTCAGGTAATCCCTTTTGCTCACCTCTAAGGGTGTTCATTTGTTACGGAAGTAAGCGATCGGACAATAAAATAGATGAAATAAGAAAATAAATTGGACACTAGATTTACGTGATTCAGTCGTAGTGATTTATGTCCACGAGAGAGCAACATAAAATTCCATTATAGATCAAGTGATGAATCGGAAATTACAACCACACTCGAGTGACTCAAACACTTTAAGTGTTTCTTAAGTTTCAATTATACTCAATAACTCACGTAGTATTTTGTTTCATAATTTCTTACGAAATAATCTCTCAATCTCACGAAGAAATTTAAATACAATTCTGATGTAATTGTACGAACGAAAATCCCACGCCAAGCGCTCAACGAAATGGAGCTTCAAGACTCTCACATCAACGGCGGGGCTTCAAGACATTGTAAAAGAAGTGTTCCCCTGACCCATGGGTATTTATAGAAATACCCACATGAAACCAAGTCTGACACCAATTGGGCAAATATCAAAACCGACTTCACCAAGGACAGATAATCCTTATCGTTTATTTCTTTCTTGCATCCATGTTGAGCGAGTCAAAGAAAAAAGCTCACTTAGACTTTCCTTTTTCTAGACCATGGCTTCAAGAAGCAGGAAAATGAATCTTTTCTCGAATATCTTTTTCTTTCTTTGACACAAGTGGTAACAAGTCAACAATAGACTTTCTTTCGCGATAATTCCAATCTTTTGGAGTCCAATACCAGAATATCAAAGCCAACGTCAAATCTAAAGTCATTTTCGGATATGCAAGATTTGGCTTTCAACTTTCTTGCTCTACACACGATTTAATTCGGGTCGGGTTTGTTCAACGAGTTTAAATTCGAGATATATTTTAACATCATTGAATATGGTAGCCTATCACTTGTGAAGCCCTTATCTGGTGTTGACCAACCTGCTTGGGAAATGCTTTAGTTGCTGAGTGCAAGAAACGCTTGGCCCATACTGGTAATGTTCAAGTGACCTACTGCCCAAGAGAAGCAAACCAAGTGGCCGACTTTGTTGCCAAGGCCCAACGACTTCAGGCCCTCCATCCTTTCGGTTTTGTAAAACCCCCAGACCTTATGGGATATTTTGTCTTTGGAAGCCCATCAATTTTGTTCTAAAAGTGTTGGATGATGAAATGAAATGTTGCCAACATGCATGCGATCCTGCCGGTAAAGAAATTAAGGGGATAAGGTCGGAGAGTTCTAGGTTCGGGATTCGATTCCCGTAAGCACCGCACACGCATGTGTGTAGTAAAGAGGAGTAAGATGAAAAAAAAATGTAGCAAGTTTACATTGGGCCGTCCATGACTAGTGATGCGTGCAATCATTTTGTCGTGTGCATAATCTGTGCAATTTTTTATCGATTTCCTATAGTGGTTGTCACAATCAATGTGTTAACCTTTTATTTTGTCTATGTTATGACAGTGAATTTATAATTAGGTTGTCCCGAGGTGGATTCTGCATTTTATCTTTTTGTTTTGCACTTTAGTGTTGTCCTTTCCTTGTTTGTATCAGCTCAAGGTTCTAATTAAACACTTTTTTTATTTTGGTGAAATTGCTTGTTAATGCCACTAGAAATCAATCTCCTACTAAGATAATGTTTTTTTTCAATAAATTGGTGAATTTAAAGAAGCAAATTACTATGATTACGAAATTAGAAAACCACGTTGATCCAAATCAAGTCAGTATATGCTAGCTATGGATCAAAGAGTATTAAACGAACAATTCCAGAGACACAGTGACGATGTTAAGGCCAAACTTGTGACCTGACCCTACCCTACTTGAGGCCCCAAGGGCCGGCCTTCGTATCTTAAGGCCAAACTTGAGACCTCGGTGCTCGAGCACTCGACCCATTTAATGTAGCGTAAAAGAGCGATAGCACAAATAGCAGTTCGGTAACACGAGTAAATAATCGCAATATGCACGAAGGCACGCAACAGAGAAAAACTCTCAATTTTTTTATTAATTCACCAAAGGATAAGCTGTATTACAAGGAACATAATGCATATGTATATCTAAAATACTAATGAAATTCTAAATTTTAAAATAGGAAATAGGTAAACTTATAAGAAATTCTATCCTACTATATCTTAAATATCACAATGATAACTATTGAAAAAATCATCTAATATCCTAACATAATTTCTAAAATAAAGAAAAATAAAATAAAAATCATAATATCTAATGTACACGCCCCGTATCATCGACCTTTGAACTTGGGACCCCGGCGCCTCTCCCCTTGACCTGGGGCTAAACCAAGACCTTAGCATCTAAACATGAGTCCCTAATAGCCACACTCACGAAGATACGGGACTTCGGCTGCCATATGTAGGACTTTGGGGTCACGACTTAGGAACCAGGTGCCCAGACCCATGACCTTGGGTGCTTATGGATCAAATTCGAGACCTCAATGTTTAGTTCCGAGAGTTCGGGAGTTGGACTCGGGACGTTGGTGCCTTGAACTTGGGACCCCGACGCCCGCCACTAAACAATCAAGCAAGATGAGACCTTGGTCCGCTACTCCCAATACCTTGTACTCGGCCTCGAGAACCCAATGCTTGGACTTAGGGAACCTAACCCCTCGCCCCTCGAACGCCAGACCTTGAACCCGAGGATCCCAGTCCACGGGCTCATTCCCCGCTCTCAAATTTGTGTCTCGGTACAAGGATCAAGGTCTTGATGAATGGATTTTCTCACGAGAGTTGTCTTAGAATTTTTTGAAAACAAACATCTCAAAATGTTTTTTTTTTAATCTCGTTTGAAACGCTGAACTAGAAAACGCGAAACAAATTTGCTGAAAGTTAATGACTTCGAAAACTCCAACATAAAGATCTTTGAAAACATTTTTCAGCAATGTCCAATTGCCAAGAGCCAAATGGCCCATTATTTGCTTCACTTTTGTTTGGAAGTTTGTTCAGCCATTATTGACGAGTTACAAGATTCTTTGCTTGGATTTTTCTTACAAAAATAGATAATTGCCGGCTGGTGAGTCCTGACATGATAATGCATTTTTGGCCAATGAAATTGATAATTGGACTAATCCAATTCAGCCTTGATCAACTAATATAGTTTATATTGCAAAAAGATTCAACAATAACAGAAAGAAAGTAGAGTCTTCATAGTCTTTTTCTCTCCCTCTCCCTTCTCTCTCTCCATCGTTTTCTTCCACCTTCAGCCTTGGGGAGGACCCTCCCCTCCCTCATTGTTAATTTTGTTTGATTTTTCTTGTTCTTTTCTCATATTTTTCTCTCCCGATCTAGATTTAGAAGCTTTCTTCTCTCGGTTTAGTTCTAGATACGAAAGTTTAAACTCTCCCGATCTAGAAGTTATCCTATCCTAATCTAGAATTGGGAGTTTGATAAATATGTTTTTAAGGATTCAATACACTTGTATTCTGTCGGTGTACAAGTCCTCTGCCTCCAGTTTCAATAATGATCATATAAACTCCAGCGTCTAATTGAATTACAAATATTTGCTCTTCCATATGTTAGATTTGTGCTTATTCAACTTATTTTGGTTGTCATCATACGGCTATGGTGTAGAGGAAGCCGAACCTAAGTACGCGCCGCCAAATGGCAACGCTGTAGTTATTGGAGAAAGAATTTCCGACGTGTGCTCGTCGCTGACAATGATACAAGATCCAATTATCATACGCTACTTATTTTGCTTGATAGATCCGTTCTCATGGAACGAGTTTATGCTTAACCCTGTTAGTGCTCTCTTGATCCTTATCGTTTTCTAGATTTGACTTTGTTTGTAGTATTTTGTGTTTAGCTCTGCTTTGATTTGTTTTACTATAAGGTCTATATACTTCTTATGTATTCTTTTGAGCAATAAATACAATTTTATTTCGATAAAAAAGCTAATATACTTATGCCTGGGTTTGATAGACTTTAGTTCAAACGCCAGTTCCTAATAACCCACATCAATCGTTTCAAAACCAATCTAGGTTCTTGTCATAGGTTATTCTGACAATTGTTTTATAGGTATACAAAATGTGCGTTCGTTTCGCAAAAAATGAATGATTTGAAAAATATTTTTTTGAAAAATGATTGCTTATATCGTGTAGAAAAATTAGTCAATAGCAAATATTTTCATCATCGATAACAAACTATGCCTAACTATTTTTGTGATCGATGAAAAACTTTTCCATTCATTTATTTCTGTAAGCGATACAAGCGATTATTTTTTGGAAAATACTTTCTAAATCACTCATTTTCCACAAAATGAACGCACCCTAAAATCATGTCCAGGTTCAACAATGCGAAAGTTGCCGGTTTGGAGACAAAGCAGTTGTCTCTGTCATGATGTTAACTTGTGCATGTTATACCCCGGCGATGGGGAGAAAAGCATAAGCTAATTCACCAATGGTGCGGTAATAAGTACTAAACCAAGAGATGATAATCTAATCTTTCAATGAAGTTCAACCTTCATAATGAAAACAAGCAGAGGGCTTATGTGTCCATGTATCTGAATAATGACTTACTTAGGATGGAGAAAATTACCCAAAAGGTCCTAAACTTGTTGTACGGATGTCAATTCAGTCCTAAACTTTCTAATTTGGCCAATGTAGTCATGAATCTTTTGAAGATTTTTCAATGCAATCCATTCGATCAATTTAGGCCGGGAAATTTTGACATGGGTGTATAGTCTGTGCCTGCCATCCTACGTGGCATAAGTCGGCGATCTGACGCGTACGACTCCACTCAAAACGAAGTCGTTTGAAATTTTTTCTATAAATCTTTTAATATTTTCTTTTCTCTTCTCTTCATTTCATTTTTTACTGTTCATGGTCTCTTTCTTTGTTCTTTATTCTTTTCCGAGGTAAGAACAGAGCCAATGAGACGAGAAATGATACGCTGATTCTGTGGTCGCAAATGGTGTCGTGCTAGGATTGCCTCCTGAAAACCATAGACTTGTCCATGATATAACATCGCATAGTGTCTGAAAAAATTATTCTTCTAGACAACCTTTCGCGTGCGATCTTATGGGTCGAATTGGTCATCAAAAAGTCTCGTGGCTAGTATGAAAACGTCACTGCTGACATGAAATAAGGAGGAGGGTGAGCGAGGAACGGACGAGGAACGAACCGGACGAAATCATAACATATTGAGACCGACAGAAACATTCGTCCTTTCACGAAAAACATCACTTGGTCAAAGGCTAAAATTGTTTGGTGAGTGAACTTTTTTTTTTCACTCCCATCACTAAATACATGTATGTGCGGTCATGTTGGGAATCGAATCCCGGACCTAGTATTCTCCGATCTCACTTCCCCTAATAGTTCACTCGCCAAAAAACAGTTCATTCGCCAACAAGAATGCGACTCTGCCGGTAAGGAGATTGGGAAAAGTGGAGCTAGAAAGTACCAGTTCAAACCCTCAACCTGGGATATTCCGAAAAAAAATAAACTATTTAATTAGTATGCAAATATACATTCCGAGAATATATACCATATAAATGAAGAATGTATTTTGCCATGTCTATCTGGTTTAGTTTCGAAAACTCTTGACCTATTGTCAAATTGACTTTGATTAAAAACAAACACTTAGCTTTTGTTACAAATTTTTTCATCGTTGTCTTACAAACTCGAATTGTTGGATTTTCATATATTGCGGGACCTATTCTTCTTCGTATCCTTACATTCGTCTTTTTTTTTGGTCTTAGGTCGCGTAATTTGGAAATAATGTGTCTTTAGTAAAATTCTTTTTCTGTGATTAGACTGGTAGGCGTGTACTTGTCCTATTATATATAAGGGTTAATACCACGAAAAATCCCAAACTGGTATACCTATGATAATTTTATGAAAAATCCCAAACTGGTACACCTGTGATAATTTTACTCCAAACTAATTTTTTGACCATGAAAAACCTCAAATTGATACACTTGTGATAAATTTATCCAAACTAATTTTTTGACAACCAAAAACCCCGAACTAGTACATTTGTGATAAATTTACCCTTCGCTAGTTTTCATTAAATTGAATTAATACCACAAAAAAAAATCATAAACTGGTACGTACGTGACAAATGGAGGGTAAAATATAAAATTGGTACATCCGTCAATTACCGCGTGTCATTTAACAAAGTAATTTGATAGTAAAATTTAACGAAAATAAACTGAGGGTAAATTTATCACAGGTGTATCAGTTTAGGATTTTTTGTGATCAAAAAATTAATTTGGGATAAAATTATCACAGGCATATCAGTTTGAGGTTTTTCGCAGTATTAACCCTATATATAATGAACGCATTTGAAATTGGGTGGTCTCAAGATCACCTACATATTAGTCACTTTAGCTGACAACGTTGTGGAAACCATGCAATAACATATCCTTTTAAAATGAAATTGATAAAAGAATATGCCATTTCATATCCCCTTGCGGCGACAGTGAACACCTCCTATCAATTCGACTTGAAAATGCATCCAAATTGGGCACGATACAACTTGACACGACATAATTCATTTTCAATCTTCGAAGTTCAAGCCACGAAACCGATATCTTATTTCTCTAAGTAACAGCAGTACAGTACACTGTTTCCTCGCCAAACATTGTTACAATAGATTTTAGCAAAAAAAAAAAACATTATTACAATAGATGACTAGTCCAGAACAGATGACTAGTCCTGCAATTGTACGAATCTCACGGTGCAGTCATCTGCTGCTGCCCTCGCTATGTTCTGCTTCGGTGCCTTTTCTTCTCTTCTTCACTTGACATGCTTCAAGAACCAATTCAACGTGTCCTCTTGGGCCTCTTCGGCGCTCTTGACAGCAAGTTCGTTGCTGTCGTCGTACCTCACACTCCATCCATGACTAACACCAGGGAATATCTTCACATAACTCTCGAACTGCAAAACCAGGGCCTCTTTTAGATTAGTGATGTGTAGAAATAACCGCAGAGGGGAAGTGCCTTGCGAGCGAATTGATGGAAATGTCGAAATAGGATTGCTCTGTCCGACAATTTGTTTTTGACAAATGCACAGACCGTCCTAACACGCTTACTTCAGTTTTGGCCGACATGATCTCCCCAAACTTTTTCAGGTCTTCAGGCGGGGAAGAGTGGTCGATCTCGGCTCCCAATATAGCAGTTGGAATCTTGACGGCTGAACAAAGAACAAACAAACATAAGATTTTTTGCGCCTTCCAGTTTAAGGAAGGCTTCTCGAGAAGGCAAATGTTGTGCTATTGATATCTTGTAATTGACCGGACATGTTAGAGCGAGTCTCGTCATCACTCTTGGCTGCATTTGCAGACTCTTTCAGAATTCGCAAACTTAATCATTCATAAGCATATCATATTTAGTCCACAAGGCCTCCCGTGCCAAGTACCAAGTCCAACACCCTCAAGAAGAATTTATGTTACTGTGGCTGAAAAGAAGACTGCAAGTAATTCCATGTTCACTGGCACAGCTTTACCTTTGATTTCATCTTCGGTCATACGACCAGGGTGCAGAATAACTGCTGCTTGAATGTCTTCAGTGCCTGCTAATTTCACTAGCACCTTTCCTGAAAAGAATAGGCAAGCTCTTGTTAAAAACTCGAAAGAGCTTTTCTGCAAGTGAACAGAACTAGTTTTTAAACGGTGAATGTAGAACAAATTTCCCATTACTTAAACCCAACAACCTCCTCAGAACTGTGAAAGTGAATTCAGAAAATTTTACCTCCCCAACAAAATCCTGCAGCCCCAATGGCAGACACACCTTTGCTCTTAAGAGCGGCAATCACAGGCTTGGCATCTTCATACCCTTTATCCTAAAGAAGTAAATGAGGTAAAAGTTTATGAAAAGACAGGACTAATAACTGATGACATGAAAATTCATGAGGCTTTTATTCTACTTATACTGTTTCATGGTTCGCATTTGGAATTTGGTAGAATACAGATCTAGACGGGTGTCGAAAATCTTTGCAATAAACAGCAATCTCCAACCAGGTCTAGCTACCAATGCAACTTACTGCATGTGATATGAGTCTACAAATCAAGTTTGCACATTAGAAAGCCATTGTTTCCTCTGAACTTCTAAATGTACTGTAACACTTTCACAGCCTGAAGGAGTGAAAAACTCACCGTGCCATGATTCTTAAACCAAGCTTCTCTATTAAAATTAGGACTAGTGAAATCAATAACGGGATCTTCGTGAAAGAAATCGGGTACAACCACCAAGAATCCCGCGGATGCAATCTTATCTGCGAGTTTCCTATACAATGGAAGCAGTCCACGAATAAGTATGACCATTTGAAAAGGTAACTCTATTCTCTATTATTTTCAATCTGTTAAAACTTAGAATGCCGTGACTGTTAACAAGGCAATCCCAGCTGATGTGATTTTGGTGTTGCAACTAAGGTTAACTCTATCTCAAGAAGAAACCGCATCACATAAACAGCTGAGTCGTACAAGTAACAGAAATTATTAGAACAAAGAAAACTGTAATTCATGTTGAATCAAGCAATGTATATCAAATGTCGGTTGAACTATGCCAGGAAGTCAAGCATATATGCATTTCAACAGATGATGTTTTAACTAGGAACAGAAAAATACCAAACACACTCATCCAGAATAAATTGGCCTCACCCTCATGTGCTATATAATGCTCTTCATCATCACAGGTGAAAGGTGAATGGAAAGGTAAAGCTTTCAAATGTATACTATAAGGAGAATACAGAGTTATTCACTGGGAAACTTCAAAAGATGGCACTATAGAACAACAGATACATAGAACAACTTGAGAAAGATTTTATGCTAGCAATCCCACCATACCTCAGCTTAGGAGCCTCATACCCTGCACAAACAGATGAGCAAAGGATCAATCAAGCAGAAATTTCATGGACCAATCGACAAGCACAAGAACGACAAAGAACCAAGAAGTACATAATCAACAAAAAGAAAGACCCAACTAAGAGCAACAACACAAAATCAGAATCAAAGAAACGGGCCAGTACCAAAAACATCGGCGATGAGAATAACAGCGAGCTTGGAATCGGAAGGGCCAGTGACGTAAGTTTTGAGGCCTGCAAGCTCTTCAACACGTCCTTCTCCACAAGTTGAGCTCAGGTTTGGTGGGTTCTCAAAACACTGAGAGCTCGACATCTTCCTTTCTTCCCCAGATATCTGGTGAACCTGGGACGCACTCGGAGTGAGGAATCAGTGAGACAATGTGACAAATTTGTGAAGGCAACACGTGAAAAGAACAGATATTTATAGGAAAAGATGGAGGCTCGCGGCGTCATTCAATACGTCACTCGAACAATGTTCAGTCTTTCACGTTGCGACTTTGAAGATAAAGTTGCGTCATTGACTTGACTCGATAGGAAGGCGTTCCCCATTATTCAATAACTACTAAGAAGTGACGCAAGGTATGATGGTCTTTTCAAAGATTATCTCCAATGCATTACTTGAGACTTACTTGCATCGATCACAGCATAACTACTCACGACAGATTGAGGTAAATTGATGTGCACTTACCTAGTCTAGGTCGACAGATATGACAAACTTGGATATAGTGACATTCTATTGAACAGGATAGAGCACGAGCATGCATGACTTGGGGATGAGGCCAAGTAGGTCCACAAAATACATGTAGTAATATAACAAATATACGAAATTTGAAGTCACGTTGACAGTCTCTTCGCATTATAGGCTCATATCAAAGGTCTTTGCACGATTTCGAGCTCATTAGAGGCACCGCACAAAGAGCTCAAGTATTAAGACGACATGGTCGACGGTGATGACTATCAATATCTAGAGCAAGATCAACCCTCCAACTATTGGCTAGAAAGCGTGATAGGTAAAGTTACTCATGTTTCTAGCATAGATTGCAGACAGAAAACAAACGAAACCTCCACCTATGGAGAAATTTTTAGGTGCTCCCGAAGCATGACGTTTTGATTCACTTAAGTCGATCACCACATGGAAAAAAGCACTATCATATATCGTGAAAGAAAAAAAAAAGGTTCATAACACTTGCCACGCTACGATTGATTGGGATAAATGAGTACGTAATGTCTTGAAAGTAACTACGAAATTTTCCAAACTAGTTATCAGCATCACGTGAAGTATAAAATTGTCTTTTGACATTGAATTCGATCGTTGCTGTAGCTTTGGAGCTTCAGGATTATTTGTCGCCGGATAATTCAATATGATCCTATCCACTGAATCAGTCCGCTTAAGAAAGTTCATCAAAACACAGCGAGGAAAAAAGAAGGTCCCCGGACTCCATTTTTGTATTTAGAAAATTGAACTTACTCTGTTCCGCAGAAATACTTTTCTCTAAATAAACGAATACGCTATCTGATATGCCCCTTGTGGTCCTCATCTAGATGAAAGAGCACACCTCCAATCAATTTGAACAGAGAATTCAACCAAAATGGCACGATACAACTCGACATGACATACTTCATTCTCAATCTGCAAAGTTTGAGCTACAAAACTAATATCTTATTTATCAAAGTCGTAACAGCACAGTATGGATGACTAGTCCAAAACAGATGACTAGTCCTGAAATTATTCATAACTCACAATGCAGTCATCTGCTGCTTCCCTCACTATATTCTGCGTCAATGCCTTCTTTTCACTTGACATGCTTCAAGAACCAATTCAACAGGTCCTCTTGGGCCTCTTCGGCACTCTTGACGGCAGACTCGTCGTCATCATTGTACCTCACACTCCATCCATGCCTGACACCAGGGAATATTTTGACGTAACTCTCGAACTGCAAAACCAAGGTCTTTGAATTAGTGATGCATAAAAATAACCGTAGAGAAGAAGTGCTTTGCAAGCGAACTGACGGGAATGAGGAAAAACGGTAGGATTGTCTGACATTTTTTTTGCAACAAATGCTCGAAACACCCAAAGATGCTTACTTCGGTTTTAGCCGACATGATCTCCCTGAACTTTATCAGTTCTTCTGCGGGGAAAATGTGGTCATTCTCGGCTCCCAATATAGCAGTTGGAATCTTGACGGCTGAACAAAGAATAGACAAAAATAAGATTTTTGCGGCTTCCAGTGTAAGGAACACTTCTCAAGCAGACAAATGTTGTGTGATCGATTTCTTGTAATTGACCGGACGCATAGCGGGTTTCTTCATCACTCTTGGCTGCATTTGCAGACTCTTCAGAATTCATGTACTTATTCATAAGCACGTATATTAGTCCACAAAGCCTCCCGTACCAAGAACCAAGTCTACCTCATGAAGAAATTATGTTGCCGTGGTTGAAAAGAAAATAGCAAGTAATTCCATGTTCACTGGCATAGCTTTACCTTTGATTTCATCTTCGGTAATACAACCAGGGTGCAGAATTACTGCTGCTTTAATGTCTTCAGTGCCTGCTAATTTCACTAGCACCATTCCTGAAAAGAATAGGCAAGCTCTTTTTAACAACTTGAAAGAACTTTTCTGCAAGTGAACAGAACTAATTTTTCAGTGGTGAATGTAGAATAAATTTCCCATTAATTAACCCAATAACCTCCTCAGGACTGTGAAAATGAATACAGAAAATTTTACCTCCCCAACAAAATCCTGCAACCCCAATGGCAGACATGCCTTTACTTTTAAGAGCGGCAATCATTGGCTTGGCATCTTCATACCCTTTATCCTAAAGAAGTAAATGAGGTGAAAGTTTACGAAAAGACAACTAAGAAACCGGTGACATGAAAATTCATGACGCTCTCATTCTACTGATACTGCGTCATGTTTCGCATCTGGAATTTGGTAAAATACAGACCTAGATGGGTGTCGAAAATCTTTGAAATGACCAGCAATCTTCAACCAGGTCTAGCTATTAATGCAACCTACTGCATGTGATATGAGTCTAGGAATCAAGTTTGCAATTTGGAAATCCATTGTTTCCTCTGAACTTCTAAATGTGCTTTAATATTTTCACGGCCTGAAGGAGTGGAAAACTCACCGGGCTATGAGTTTTCAACCAAGCTTCTCTACTAAAATTAGGATTACTGGGATCAACAACGGGATCTCCGTAATAGAAATCGGGTACAACCACCAAGAATCCTGCGGATGCAACCTTATCTGCGAGTTTCCTTTACAACGAAAGCAGTCAACTAATAAGTATGACAATTTGAAAAGGTAACTCGTCATTTTCAATCTTGTGAACACAGAACGCGATGACTGTTAACAAGGCGATCCCAGCTTATGTGATGTTGCAGTTGAAACTAAGGCTAACTTTATCTCAAGATGAAACAGCATTATAGAAACAGCTGAGCCGTATAAGAAGCAGAGTTTATTGGAACAAAGGGTGGGTTAATACCACAAAAGAACCCCCAAATTATGCCCACTGTGACATAAATACCGCGAACTTTTTTTTGTGTCACTAAAACCTTAAACTTGCCCATTGTGACACGAACACCCCACTTTATTTTGTATCATAAAAAATCCCTAACTTACACATGTACGACAAATGTACCCTGGATGGAACTGAAATAGAAGATATATATGTCACACCTGTACAAGTTTGGATTTTTCGTGACAACAAAAAAAAAAGGTTGGGGGTATTTGTGAAAAAAAGTTTGCGGTGCTTGTGTCACCATAGGCATAGTTTGAAGTTTTTTGTGGTATTTGTCCTCAGAACAAATAAAACTGTAATTTATGTTGAATCAAGCAATGTATATCAAAGGTCAGTTGAACCATGCCATGAAATCACGCGTATCTGCATTTCAATAGACAACGTTTCAACTCGGAAGAGAAAAACACGAAACACACTCATCCAGAATGAATTGGCCTCACCCTTATGTGCTATCTAATGCTCGTCAGCATCACAGGTGAAAGGTGAACGGAAAGGTAAAGCTTTCAAATTATGCTACCGGGAGAATACAGAGTTATTCACTTGCAAACCTTAAGTTTCTATGCAAGTAATCACACCATACCTCAGCTTAGGAGCCTCATACCCTGCACAAACAGATGAGCAAAGGATCCATCAAGCAGCAATTTCATGGATCAATCGAAAAGCACGAGAACGACCAAGAACCAAGAAGAAGTCCACAATCAACCGAAAGAAAGACCCATAAGAGAAACAATACGGAATCAAGAATCAAAGAAAATGGGCGTCTACCAAAAGCATCAGCGATGAAAAGAAGAGCACGCTTGGCATCGGAAGGGCCAGTGACGTAAGTTTTGAGGCCTGCAAGCTCTTCAACACGTCCTGCTCCACAGGTCGAGCTCAGGTCCGGTGGGTTCTCGAAGCAATGAGAGCTCAACATTTTTCTTTTCTTTCACCAAGAAACCTGGTGAATGTTGGACACACCAAGAGTGAGGAATGAGACAATTTGTGAATGGAACATGGAAAAAAGAGCAGAGTTTTACAGGAGAAGTGAAAGTTTGCAGCCTCATTACGCGTGTCGCTAGGACGCTGAAAATTCTAAGAGAGTGGCGGCTTTGACGAAAGGTTTGATGGTATTTTCCAAAGATTTTCTCCGATGAAGAGTGAAGACCAATATGCCAACGCCAGAGCGTCACCTAATCTTAATTCATAGGGCCCAGCAAGCCATCCGCAAAAGACCAGAGACCCTTTCCCAAGTTCGAAACTTGGAATTAGCAAGACGAAGAAACGAAACACACCATCTCCAAGAGATCAGATTTTGCAGTGCATGAGCATCTCACGTAAATTTTTCTGATAGAAACAAGAAGGGCATCTCCATTTACGACGGATTGAGGTAATCTGATGCGCACTTAGCTAGTCCAGGTCGATAGTTATGACAAACTTGGATGTGATGACATTCCATTGAACACGATGAACACAAGCATACAGGGCTTGGGGATGAGACCAAGTAGGTGCAGAAAATACATGCAGTAAGATTACAAGTACACAAAAGTCGGGGTCATGTCGACGGTCTCTTCACATTAGAGGCTCGTGTTGAAGGTCGTTGCATGATTTCGAGCTCATTTGGGGCACCTCACAAAGGGCTCAAGTATATCAAGCCCTGATTGGTTTGTATTAAGATGACATGGTCGACGGTAATGATTTGACATCTACAACAAAACCAATGCTCCAACCATTCGCTGGAAAGCATTTTGGGCAGCGGTATTCATGTGTCTAACATAGAACGTGGACATGAGAAGGAAAGAATTCTCGATTTATCGAGAAATTTTTAGGTACTCTCGAAGCATGACGTTTCAGTCTGCCTAAGTAAATCACCACGTGGGAAAACACTATCATCAATCTCC